ATCTCATCGATGAAGATAATAGAGGGCTGTAGCTTGATGGCCAGCGAAAAGACAGCTGCAGCTAGTTTCTGGGATTCTCCGTACCATTTGTCAGTGAGAGTGGAAGGCTGCAGGTTAATGAAGCGGAATCCAGCCTCTTTGGCAGTAGCTTTGGCTATAAGAGTTTTCCCACAGCCTGGAGGCCCATACAGCAACACACCTGAGAAGATGACAAGCAAACCAGCTCAGAATAATGTGTGTGGAGTTCAGTTTAGAAACACTTTATGGAAATATTTCCATCTAATGCCTACCTTTGGGTGGCTGAAGAAGCCTGGATCCTTCAAACAGATGTCTCTTCTGGATCGGAAGTATAACCGTGTCTTTCAGTTCAGTTATGACTTCATCCAGACCTGCAATGTCATGCCATGTAATCTGTGGACACACATAAATGATTTGTGTAACTTGCATAATCATTTAAAATATACAAGTAGACTAGACAATTAAGGACTGGTAAATAAAGTCAGATGCTGATATAATTCCTCGCCTGCATAGTCAGTGGATCCACAAGATGAGCTGCAATGCTCATCTCATATTCAGAAAGCTTCACATTCTGCACTCCAATCTGTCGCATGAGTTTCTCTGCCTGTGAGGCGGCAACAAAACTTCACATTAAACTCCAGCCTTTGGTGAAGCTATGCTTTGTCAAAAGTTCAACTTAGTAAGGCTTCCTAACTTGTGGCAAATAATGGGAAAAAATACAATATAATTACCTTAGAATGTTTAGTCTACATGAAAAGGGGATAGGACTATATAGGATAAAGAAGTAAACAAATAAAAAGGGGTACATTTAAAAATTTTCTACAATCACAATTTCTACATAACGGAATATTTTAGAGCGGAGCAGGACAAGAAATATCTGTATATTACACTTACAAGAAATTGTGTACTGATAACTGACAGAACTCACCCAACCTTCCAAAACTATCAAGTAACTCCTGTAAACTGCGTACCTGTTTTTGTGCCTCAACTTTCTGTTTTCTTGTTGGATCAATAGCATCCACCATCCACTTTATTGTAAAATAGGTGACAGCACCAAATATTGTGAGGCGAAAGAGTAAACCTATGACCTCGTTCCGGCCCAAAGGGCGAGTGATATTGTCTGTTGGAATCTCTTTCAATACCATCTTCTTACATTCACCTGCAAAATAAAAACAATAAAATCAGTATTATTACAAATCTAGGGGGTTCTAAGGAGCCATTTACTTGACTTTTAACTTGAGTATTGAATATGGGTTTGAATGTGTAAATAAAGCTCTGTATAAACGTTACTTGCATATATACAATTCTGATATAGTGTGTCCAATCGGGTAATCAAAAGTTGTACACGCTCTTCACGCCCACTCGAACACTTGGTCCAAATACAGGAAATATGTCATGTAATTAGACAAGTGGTCAAGTGCAAAATGTGGGTATTGAGACAGGCCTTATGTGAGTGCCTCCGTTCTGAAAGCATTCAATAATCACTCCGTGCTAGTTCCATGGTCAAATTTGCGCCTAATTATCTCTCCACTGTATAAAAAAATTAGTCTGTATTGAAATACTACGAACTTCTGTACAGAACATGTATTAGATTAAATAATAATAATTACACAGTACCGCCGATTACGACACGCGGAGTACGCAAATTTGTCAATTCGCTCTTATTATGGTGATGAGTAAGCACAATTTCCTTTCATTTTCATTATTGTTTCACTTAAGAGTTATTGATGATTTCCTGTGACCTTCCTGTGGAAAAAAACAGAGATCACATACCTGAACCGTCTTTATTACTGGGTCTTGGAAATATTGTTTTAAAAAAGCAGTTTCCTTTTAATCCAACGTTTAATTTACTTCCAGCGATCAGATTTTTTAAAAACACATTTCATAGTATAACCGTGTCTTTCAGTTCAGTTATGACTTCATCCAGACCTGCAATGTCATGCCATGTAATCTGTGGACACACATAAATGATTTGTGAAACTTGCATAATCATTTAAAATATACAAGTAGACTAGACAATTAAGGACTGGTAAATAAAGTCAGATGGTGATATAATTCCTCGCCTGCATAGTCAGTGGATCCACAAGATGAGCTGCAATGCTCATCTCATATTCAGAAAGCTTCACATTCTGCACTCCAATCCCAGCCCGCGCGGCACTGGAACGAGCCGTTATCCACCACTATCGGCGCCGGACAAGGCTCCAGAAATTCCCTCTCCACTGTGAATACTGGATCGGGTGAACATTTATAATCCTCAAAAGTGTAAACGTTGCGTTTATCATTCATGGTACTGAACAACAAACGGCCGGTCAACTCTGTCTACTTCGCCACCACTGATTGTTTGTGTCCGCAGCTCATTACCGCCACCTGTAGTTCAGTTCCAAACGAAAGACGGAAGCTGCAAATGAAATCGCTTTACAATTCTTCTTCTCTCGAGCTTTTTTGGCGGATTGGCAAACCAACGGTAAAGGTGCATGTCCGCCACCTACTGGTCTGGAGTGTGAAACGTACACGGTTCAGCTATGCTGCTAGCACAGGCAGTCCACTCCATACCATTAACAATGCCGGAGCTATCAAATCCAAGATTAATGTAATAAATAACCCACTGCATCCCTCTCCGTTGATGGAAGAGATATTGAAACTCACCAATTCTAGAAAATTAATATCCAAACTCTATAAACTTATATTAAATACCAATACAACAATAACTTTACCAATTGCTAAATGGGAAAATGACTTGGCTTTCTCCCCCAACAGCGACTTCTGGAAAGAAATCTGTAGTAATATATTTTCTATGACTAGCAATACAAACCTACAACTAATACAGTACAAGATAATTCACAGGACTCACATCACTCAAAGGAAAATTTTTTAAATGGTTCTAAGCGACACAGATATATGCTCACAATCCACACTGGGCAGCACCGATGACTATTTGCATGCCACATGGACCTGCCAACCTGTTTGCTCATTTAGGATATTAGTGACCGATAAACTTTCCATCATTATAGGCTGTAGGATTCCTCTGTCTCCATCACTTTGTTTTTTTTATCAAAAGCCAAACGCGCTTAGCTCTGTGCGCTTTCTCTCTCTCCCTCTCCGGTTGCGCGCCGGTGCCAAGTTCAAGAGCTGCGGATGACGCGGTTATTTTAACAACAACAGAAAAAACAAAACAAAAAAAGGGAGACACATACAAAGGGTAAGTGGGCCGTGTGGGTGGGCCGGGTCCCTGGCCTGGGCTGCACTACACGTCTCACCTTTTTAATGCATCACAAATTAGCTGAGACATATACACATCTATACATTAAAAAACATATGTAAATAAATAAATAACAGACATCTGAGACAAGCGTGGCATGCAGGTAGTGGCCATGGATGGCTGGTGTTTTGGAGGATGGGGGGAGAGCTTTGGGCCCTGTTGCCCCGCAGCATCTTTCCAAGGCACTCCCGCTGTGGCGTGACATGGGCTTGGGATTAAGCTATGATATGTTGTTGCGACGGAGGGATCAGGGACAACCCTAATAATTTATTAAATATTTATTAATATATAATTTATTACTATTATTAATAATATCATTACTATTACTTGCATCATTCACTGTCTTCCACCCTTTCCTAATCTTAATGAAATCCTTATTATTATTATTATTATTATTGTTGTTATAGTTATCTTTGACATAACCAGGCCTGGGTTGCAGAAACACCTTCACAAGACTTGAGGCAAACTGCATGCATGGCTCACTCACAGAGAGAGTCCCGATAATCCCTCCAGGATGACTGACAAGTTCTCTTGCAGGAATTTCAGCACTGAGCCAACTGGGCAGCTGACTGGATCCACTGCACGAGCCACACAACAAGTCTCATAAACCTTCCACTTAGAAAAATAAAGCCTCCAAGTGGAAGGAGCCCAATCATTATTGATGGTCTCCTGAACATTAGCAGGATGATCAGAAGCTATTACTGGTTGCCACTGACGTTACTGGACAAGGGTGCCAAATCCTGTCCTGGAGTTGAGATAGCAGGTCCCTCCTGATGGGAATCTCCCACGGGGTTTGCTCCACCAGGGAAGTCAACTCTGTGAACCACGTCTGGGATGGCCAGAAAGGCGCCACCAGTAGGAGTCTGAGTAAGCATGGGCTCCCCAAACTGTGCGAAGTGGGGGATGCTCAGGCTTGTCACTCCTCCCAGAGGGCTCCTTCCTGAGTGTAGAGCAGTCTCTGGGCTTAGTGGCAGGAGTGGAAGGTTCACAAGCCCTCCTAGCTATGAAAATCTTAAGAGCAGTTGATAGAGTCTTAGCCGTGCAGAATTGTCAACCACTCAACTGACTGCTACTCCAAAAAGGCCTGACTGGGAGATAGGGGCATCCATTGGGAAAACCTTTTCCTTTTCACTAATCTCAGTGAGATTTAGCCAAAGGAGGCGTTCGGTAGCCACCAAGCCCGCCATTGTGTGTCCAATCCAGGCACATGCACACATAGACATCAAAGGGGGCTTGAGCACCTGTCCTTTTTCTTCCTCGAGAGAAAGTGCCCTCTTTTTTTTTTAAATAAATGAATATATGTATATACGTGTGCGTGTGTATTTCTGTTTGCACACAGCTTTCTCTGTCAAACAAATAAAAAATCTAAATATCAGGTCGGGTCGGGAAATGTTGAGACTGTCGAGTTCTGATGCCTTTCTCCCTCCTCGTCTCCGCGCAGCACAGCAGTGTAGCACACATTGATCGGCACATCACAGTCACAGACAGGCAGAGAGCTGCAGAAGTGAAGCCCTCCCTTCCTTTCCAGTTATGTTTGTCTTGGTGTGGAGGTGAGTGGTGATGAACAAAAGTTACCTAAGCTACCTGTGCCACGAATTTACAGCTAATTATCCAAAAGACAAAAGACAAATATAGTTAATTTGTCTTGCTAACATCCATGACTCAGCTACCATTTAAGTTAGCTAAAGTTTAGCTAAGGCAACAGGAAGTCTAGTAGGTTAGGCCAGTGCGCGTTCTTTCACTGCATGATTCAGTTTATTAAAATGCATTTAGAATGATCACAAAATTCAAGATATGGGGGCAGAAATGTATACATTCATATATAGTTAATCAGTATCACACGAAGACTTTATACAGCAGTTCAATAAACATGAATTTAATACACTTACTTTAGACACAAATGACTGTTTTTGGTATATTTCGCTAACAAATATAACTCCAATTTGCATCTCTGAGCAACATGACGGTGTTTCGTTCCTGAATGAATCAACCGTTTAAATGATTCGGTTCAATCGCAACGACTCACTTATAAACAGTGACTTGCTGCCACCTACTGGCGGTTTTAA